GGAATGATAAGAGGTTCACCGTCTGTAGGAAACAGATAGCGCCTTATACGAGTTTGGATGAATCTTTCGAAGAGCTTGCCCATTGCCTTGAGGAGGCTAATGGGGCGATGATTGGAGGGGAGGTTGAGAGGCTTGCCTGGTTTGGGAATACCAATCACAGTTGCTCTTTCCACGTAGTGGGAAAGTAACTAAGGTTAAAGCAGGCGTTGAAGATAATAGATAAAAAGGTTAACACCTGCTCAGGAAAGTGTTTTAGGGCTTGGTTGGAGATGCCATCCGCGCCCGGAGCCTTTTTGGGCTTAAGTCCTTTGATGAGGGATGAAATCTCATCATTGGACACAGAGATAGGTTCGGAGGCTGTAGGGGTGAGTTCCGGCGGCGGACTTCATCCTCCACTGCCTGGACGTGTGAGGTGTCGACGGGTTGAGAGCTAGGAGAGCATTGTGCGGCAATGCTATCTGCAAAGCACTCAGCCTTTTCCTCGTCCTCGAAGGTAACCGTACCGTCGGGACGGGAGAGAGGGGGAGTGTGGGTGTTAGCGTCTATGCGGAGGGCTCTAGCCATCTGATAGTACGCTGTATGAGATGGACAGATATTCTCCATTAGTTTACTCTTTTCGAGGTCTCGAAATTCAGAGAGGCGGAAACGGAGTTCTCGTTGAAGACAATTGGCCGTGCGCCTATATTCGGGGGTGGGATATTTTGCTGCTCTCCGGAAAGCAGTTTTCTTGGCTTTTAATAGGTTGCTAATATGTAGGGCAAGCCCACTATTGTTAGCAACCGGGACGACCCTTTCGTTCTTCTTAAGGGATGATTTAATAAGGGTGGAGAAAGAATCGACCGCGGTGTCGATTTTTTCGGGACTGTCTAAGTCCGACGGTAGGAAGATGGTAGAGTCCTGTGAGTTCAGAGCTTTAGCTAGGGACTCCTTGAATCCCTTCCAATTAGTGAAGGTTTTCGTGTGTGTTGGGAGAGGCAGCTGAAGGCCAAGAATGAGGGAGACCGGTCGGTGTCGGATCCTAGATCGTCTAGTGTCTCGATTGCTCTGAGGTTGAGAGAAACTCCTTGGAGTAACGCAAAATCTAGTACATCGGGGGCGTGATCGGTGTTATCGGGAAAGTGAGTAACACCGAGGGGACTATGGACGGTAATATTAAGAGACTGCGTGATATCGAGCAGTATCTTGGCGGTCGGGTCTGTCATTACGAAGAAGAGAGAAGTTTTTAATAGAAAGGCCTTTAATGTCCTTAGTTTTGAGATTAGTTTCCTGTAGGAGGAGGAAATCGGTTTCACGATTCCGAAGAAAGAGCTTAAGCTCTGGGAGGTTATTTCGCAAACCGCGAATATTAATGGATACAAGCGATAAACCTTTAGGTTTGATACGACCGTGAGGCTTTGGTAGAGCAAACTGCTCTGTCATTGTGAAGTTAAGTTAATTAAGTTAACTTAACTTACAACGAGCACAAAAGATTATGGTGCTCTGTAAGAGCGAGGAGACGGTCCTGAGGGGACCTCGCAGTGCGCAATTTGCGTGCTAACACCGCGATTTCACTAACGTCGATGTTCCTAATAGCGGAATACAGCGTTTTTAGGTCTTCAATAGTAGGCTGTGATTGTTGTTGTTGTGGGGCAGAGGTTGTCCGCGGTGGGTCTGCCTTATTGGGGCCCCAGGGAAAGACTGGAGGCAGCATAGGCTTTGAGAAGCCCGGAGGGGGGCCGAATAATGCCCTGAGGGGCCTAGGGGGACCCTGAGAGGGCCGAGAGAAGCCCTGGATGGGCTGAGAAAGGCTCTGACGGGGCCGTTGGTAGAGAGCCAGGAATGAGCGGTCATTGAACGGCGGTGGAGCTTGTCTACTAGGGCGAGGATGAGGTGCGCAAGGGCAGCCTCTGTAGTTTGCCGGGTGGCCTGTTTGCACAGGACACAAGCGGGTGGGGATTCGGCGTCTTTGAGCCGAGGACACTCTTTGGTGTTGTGGGGTTCAAGGCACTTAACGCACCTGGATGGGGCGGAGCAGTTGGCCGCCGCATGACCATATAGCTGGCAGCGGTGGCACTGCGCCGGGAATCCGCGCCTATGTGGGCCTCAACCCTCACTCTCGACAGGCCACACACTGTGCGTACATGCCGGAAGATGGCTTTTGCCTCCGGCACGTTTGTTAAGATGACTGGGGCAAGATTGAACCTTTTGCCCGTTCTGCTGTGCATTTTGTGCACGGCTTCTACAGGGAAACCTTGGGACTTAAGGTCCTCAAGGATTCCTCGTTGGAGAATTCGAAGGGGACGCCTCGGATGACGGCCCTGACTTTTCGCTCTTCCTGAAGAGCGTAAGTGTGGTAGGAAACTCGTTCGGCTGTGAATAGCCTGGTCAGTTGACGGAAGTCTTCGATTGAATTGGGGATGATCTTTATAGTCTCCCCGAGGTTGATGGCGTGGTCGTATTTAATGCCTGCGTCGTAGCAGGTTTTAGATAATTTGGTGAATTTTGCCTTGTCTCTTAGGAAGACAGGGGGGCGGGACTTGCTTCTTGGCAAGGACTGGAGCATATCGAGAGGCTGGCTTGGCCGTAACGGGGATGTCTGTTGACATAAGTGGGACCGCGGCAGCGGCGGGGGCTGCGGAGGTTGTAGGGGCGGCAGGGGCCGCTGAGGCAGGGAGGATGCGTTTTTTCGAGGCGCGTTTACCGCTGCGCCTGGAGTTCACCGTGGTGAAAGAGGAGTCTATGGTTCCGTCGGAGTCACAGGACTCCGATGAACCGGTGCCAGAATTGGTGGCGGGCCTCTTCCGGGAGGCCGACGCGGAGGCCTCGGAGCGTTCGTACTCCATTTCTAGGGGGGAAAGGAGTTTTGTGTTTTTAGGTAAGTCGCGATTACGGGCGGCGGTTGGAGTGCCTGAGGGGCAGGGGCAGTAGCCTGGGCGGCGATGGTGGCGATGGCGCCGAGGACCGTCTCATCGAGGTTTGTACCATAAGTTTGGTTTATGACGGCGGCGATGGACTTAGAAAGGCTATCTGTGGACATTTTGAGGCAGTAGTTCTATGAACAGTAAAGGGTTGGAACGTGTCCCTGTTCTCAGTAGAACAGGGACTTGAACACGAGCCGTAATACGATACAATATACACGTATAACAATAAATAATAACAGAGAAATAACAAAAAATCAACAATAAAACAATAACAGTAAGAATAACAATAAAGTAACAATAACAAGCGGAGGTCAGTCAAACCTCCCCGCCCGAAGACAGGGGGGCAAGAACTGTTAGCGGTGAAAGACTCACCGGTGCGTCGGCGCTGTACAGCGCGAGCAGGACAGCGGAGGCGCGAGAGCACTACCGTACAAGGACGAGAGCGCGGACTACCTGGGAACGACCGCTCGAGAGCGATGCCACAGGCGGAAAGCCCGTGTGATTGTTCGGAGATGTTCTATATATACTGTTTATGATTCGGAATTTTGATAGCGTGATTTAGCCTTCGGTGTGTTTTGCTTGCGGCGCGACGACAGCGCCACCACAGGTCCAATACCGCACTCTATCGCCAGTACGTTGTAGATCGCCATCACCACATCGGCGCGAGGAAAGTAGATTATCGTCGCCGTATCGTTGCGATGTACAAAGGCCACGGTCACCTTATAACCGCGATGCATCCCCGAAATGCCGTGTATAGCCAAACCGATTGATTAATAGGGATAGAGATAGGTCGCTTACTCCGCGAGGGAAAGACTGGGGAATAAAACAGCTTGTGGAAGCTTTGGAGAGCATGGTGAGATGTAGGCCCACCGCCGCGAAACAAACACAGGACCTGCTCATTTTTACGGTGCATCCGCGGAATGATTAGCATTTAAATCCACGATGAAAGAATCTACTAGGTTGTATTCACTAATACGGAAAATATGGCACGGTTAAGGAATTGTTTACATGGTGAAGCTAGGGTAGCCGTCTCCGCATTATTATTTACCGCGAGGGACCCAGCCGACATAATGAGTACGTTAGAACAATGTTTTAGCCGACCGGAAGTAATTATTGATCGAGCGTTAGAGGAATTACGACGCCTTCCGCGCCCGGGTCAAATCGCTCAGGAATTAAATGCATTTGCGGTTAGATTACAGAACATAGTCTGTATAATGAAAAACGTAGACGACAAAGGATATTTAAAAAATCCTATGTTGATAAGGGAGGTCACGAATAAAGTAAGCCCTCACCTACGGTCACGATGGTGCGACTGAGGAACCGGACATCGTCACTGTCCAGGTTTATGATGAGAGAAGCTGACCGAGCATTAAGTAACGCTTATACGTCCGTCACGCCGGTTAGGGAAGTGCCCGGAAGAAAAAAGGCGCCACCGTCGAGAAAAATAGTAATAACACGCCACGCAGAGGATAGGCCACACGACGTGAAGATGTTCACCGCTCGCGCAAACAGTGTGCTAACCTTGAAAAACGTGGCATGCTCAGTGAAACTAAAAATCTAGTCGTTCTATTTCATTTCTTTACACAACATCGGCGTAATATGCTATTTCTCGTGTGTGACTGCGACAAAAGATATCAATTTATCTATAACATTCTCTGTCTATGCTGTAAGCACAGTATTTTGTGTATTAAATGCCTGTGCAAGTAAACTATCAGCAAAAACATTGTGCAGTGTTTCGATAGTGATATAAATCTGTTTTTTTATCCACTTTGCTATATTATCATCATTTACTATCCGTTGGGTAAAACTGTCATCAAAATCTCCCAAGAACTTTGCAAATACACTTTATCAAATTATGAAGAATTTTGTAAACATAATTAAAAAATTCAGACTAGGCTGCATGGTCCATGGCCTTTGCCTACATTAAAGCAAACATCAAAACACTATTTTTATTTGTATTTTGTATCATATGTAACAGTGTAACATTTTATTTTTCTGTTTTTATTTCGTTTTTTGTTGTTTTTGTATTATCTAATATTATATACTGTAGATAAAAGCTCTTAATGGTAATACCTAAACATAAAATATTTGTTATAGACAATGGAAGCTGATTCCACTACTGTTTCTAATTATGAAGACTCTAAGGCTGCAGTTAGTTTTCCGTTTTCTGTATGTCCTGGGTAAGAAAACGATTTGTATTAGCACTGTTTATTCTTTGGATTTGTAGTTATAATTTACATAATATTATATTTTAGAAACTTCAGTTTGTATAAAGAATTCATAAGTAATAATTCACAGAAGAGTGTTGAATGTCAGATTGTTGAAAGGTTGCAAAAGTTTGGTTTGCTTCCGATTATGGTGAAATGTCCAATATCTAAACCTGATTGCCGAGTTGTTTGCAAACAAGCCCGCGTTATAGACAGGTATTTATATATTAATTATCAATTAAATAACATCTATCAATATCTTTATCATATTAAACAAATTAAAAACTATCTGTAACAATGAAATAACTGCCTGTTATCGGGGTCAAACAGAGGGTTACTTGATTTGGAACTACATGAACAAGTACCGAGCAGTGCTATGAGTGATCTAGGCTATATTTTATCAAAAAAACTTGGAGATTATTCTTGTAAAATCAAAAAATTCATATAACGAAAATGGTTGTTGCTTATTATATAAAATTTTATTGATGATATAAATAACATAATGTATACCACCTAGGCAAACCCATGGTGGGTTGCGAGTTAGCAATAAATTCTCAATTTTTAATATAAAATGGTGTATTGATTGCTAAAACCCTTTTATAGTACCCGGCTATAAATATTGCACATCAACCTTTGGAAAGAGACAAACGGCTAATTTACGGCTTCATAGTGCGTTATGTTTGTGCACACGTTTTGTATTTCATGTGACAGAGATAATGCTCTATGAAGCCGAAATTAGCCGATTGTCTCTTTCCAAAGGTCGATGTGCAATATTTATCGCCGAGTATTGTATTTTATAGTAAGTACTCTCTATGACAATATGATATTCTTCATATGGAGAAATGATTTAACTAGTTTATAGGAGGCTAGGTATTGCCAAAAGTAGTTCACCCTATTTCTGCCACTAAGTAGCAATGTTAGCACTGCAGTGTTCAGGTTTAGTGTAAAGAGGGCTAGTTTTATTATAAGCTGAGAGGCATAATCAGAAATCGGAAATTTTTTATTTGCTTTAAACATGATAGTGCACATATGTTAACATAATGGTACGTACTCATGTTTGACTTATTATTGTCATGCAAATTTAAAAGTAGTTACATTTTAGTCTACTTAAAGCTCAAAATAAGTTAACATACTAAACAGAAAACTAATGGTAAACATGAGTCACAGACAGAGCATTACATGTCATCATTTATAAATTGTATAATATTTTATGTCAAATTATTCAAGTCATAAAATAAAGTAAACACAAAAAAACTACAAATACAGTTAAAATTTAAAAACCTCTTGGTCATCTAAGTATTCCTGGACTGAATAAAAGCACCTAGTGAAAAGCCAGGAATGTAACTTTCTTTTAAACAATGGTAACGGCAGAGCTTTGAAACTTGGATGAAGCTTATTATAAATTTTAATAGCCATACAATAACAGCTTCGTCTGTCTTATTCTGGGTTGCACGATTCTTTCTCCATGTCTCGTGGTTTATTTTTGTTTTGCTCTCTAGTGACAAAATAGTGAGAATGTTGTTGTACAAAAATACACATTTGTTTAATATACAGGCACGGTAGCGGTAGGATTCCAAGTTTATTGAAAAGAGGTTTACAGCTTTCAAGAAAATGTACTCTGCAAATAGCCCTAATACATTTCTTTTGGGCTATGAAAGCCCGGTTTACATCCGCTTACATAACTTAATAGTGATGACACATAGCCATGGTAGGCCAATAGAGCAGTTTCAATGGTTGATACATTACTGAGTCGTCGTAGCGCGTATACAAATTTATTTATTTTTGTACATAGATTTTCTATATGTGCTTTCCAGTCACAGAATTTATCTAAAGTAAATCCAAGAAATTTAGCTTCATTAACAATTTCAACAATATTACCGCAATAATCGACTAGTACATCCATTGACCTTGCTCTATAAGTAGTAAACTGGATTCCCTTTGTTTTTTGAATGTTTATTTTGAGATTGTTTGAATGTAGCCAATTGATTAGGTTGTGTAAAGTCTTGTTAATGATAATATTGGATTTTTCTATTTCTTCACATTTTATTACTACGGTAGTGTCGTCTGCAAACATGTAACATTTATGTTGAGTTGCATTTGGTAAGTCGTTAATAAATATCAAAAACAACAGGGGCCCCAAGATACTGCCCTGTGGAACTCCACATGGGTTGACACGATACTTTGACCGGAAAGTACACTGTCTGGATTCAACAACTGCTGCTATCTCAATACATTTCTGTCTATTATACAAATAACTTTCCAACCAGTCGTAAGCGTTACCTCTAATACCATATCGATAGAGTGTATCCAGTCAAAAGCTTTGGTCATGTCTAGAAATAAAGCAATAACTGGTATCTTTTGATTAATACATTCAGTGACATAATGTATCAGATTGTAGCAAGCCAACGTAGTAGAGTGACCTTTGCGAAAACCATACTGTTCTTCTCTCAGTATATTATTTGATGTAAGAAAGCTATCAATGCGCTTGAAGATTACTTTTTCATATATTTTAGATAGTATTGGAATAAGAGTTATCGGTCTATAGTTATTCATATCACATTTATCGCCTTTCTTGTATATTGGCTTAACAATACATAACTTAAGGATATCGGGGAATGATCCCTGTTCCATTGACAAATTAATTACATGAGTAAGAGGTCGACTTAAATCCCTCGCACATGCCTTTAGTACACGTGTGTTTATGCCATCATGTCCATTCCATCTTAGAGGTGACAAGACACTATTCTTTACATGTAACTTAAATAATATTCTTTCTTTGGAGTTGGCTGCAGGTGTCTATTCAGTGTATACTCTGTGTGATTGTTTGATCACAGACTATTTGGCAGTATGAACATAAACAAATAACAGAATATTGTGTGTTGACATTGTAGACATTGGCAGTATAAATGTAAACAATTTATGTTTTCATTTATTTAATTTGATGTATTTTGTAACAAATTGTGTTATACAGTAAGGATGTGGTATCCTGGCAATAAATGAAACCACAAGTAATACCAGTCCATAGAAGTGTAGTAAAATTAAATATTAATTTAAAGACCGTAAATTGAAAAATTGAAATTTTCAAACAAAATAAATATCTAAATAAATTCAGTAAAAGTAAACACTGTTTAGAAAACATACCTTGACCCCTTGGAAGAGTGGTAACAAGGCACGCGGGCGTCATGGCAACCGGTAGCAGCCTATACTTTTCACTAAACTGTTTATTTTTACTGCCACTTTTTTATTTCGTGATAACGAAATAAATATTATTGCACATTCGTTGAAAATTTTATTGGAATCCTACATTTTTAAATTTTCTAAATGTCTGCCATGTTCTTGAATACACAAATTACATCGCCGTGCAATGTTGTATTGAAGCCTGCTTAACAAATTTCGTTCATTTTGGCCACATTCACCATACAATAAAATCATGTCTGTATACTCTACCGCACTGTAAAAATGCTGTTGTCTTGAAATTTTGTTAAAAAAACACACACGTACACACAAGAGTCAATAAGTGTCAACACATACATAAACACGTCTGTCACCCAGAGGGGTAAGCAGAGATTACAGACTTCCATTTAGCATGATCCTGACATACCTGTCTCGCCTCCTCCACATCCATATACCTATGCATACATGCTACTCAATTAAGGGTGCTCTTAATTTGGCCTATTTTTAATATATCGCCAATTTGGTCGACAAACTTTCGCCTAGGACATCCCTTTCCGACTCTTCCATTCACTTCTGTAACATATATTTGCTTTGTCAGTCTTTCCTCATTCATTCTTTCTACATGAGCAAACCACCGAAGCATTCCTTTCTTAATCCTGGTCACAGCATCATCTTGCAAACCACACTCTTTCTTTTATCACACAATTTTTCATGCTGTCACTCGGATTCAGCTCTAACATTACCTTAGCGACCGCATTTCTACTGCATTTATTCTACCCTCGTGCTTCTTCTGCCACACCCAACTTTCACTACCATACGTTAAAGTAGGGACTAATACAGCATTGTGAATTACCATAACATGCCATGCCATGCCTTTTTTGACACATTCTGACTTTTCACAATAGAGTGTAGAGCCCCATTTACTTTATTTCCTGCATTCACTTGTTGTTCAATATCCTTATAATATCTCCCTTCCTGCTGAATACACATCCCAAATATACAAATTCATCTATTTGCTTGACTATCTCCCTTTCTATTCTTATTTCACATATTGTTTTACTTTCTTCTCTTTCAAGAACCATAACTTTCGTCTTACTTGCATTCACTTTCATTCCGCTTTCTTTTAATGACCTGTTCATTAAAAGAAAGCGCAAGTATGACTTGATCATCGGCGTACAAAAGGCATTTAATAAAGATATTAATAGTTACTTTGCAACCATCCGCTGAATAAAATCAAATGATGTGTCTTACCTAGTTTGAAGACCACCTCCCGCCCTCCCTCAATTGCGTGCACTAAGCCCGTCACCACTACCCACCCCAGATTTCAAAGTAACTATTAATATCTTTATTATAGATTTCTGCTAAGTAACGCCTGATTCTATCAATTATCAAAAGGCATTTGATGGTTAACTCACCCATTCTTAACTCGCATTCTTCAACTTTAAAATTTTACAAACAACTGTCCATAAATAGGTTGAACAGCCATAGTGAAGCTACACAGCCCTGTCTGACACATTTATGGACGCCAAACCAGTCCATGTAGGTCCTGTTGATCCTAACACAAGCATTCGAGTCCCGCTCTATGGCGCCAGCGTCTGAATAAACCCTTAATTCGGCATAAGACCAGGTAGTGGTCTGTCCCTACATTGACCCCCTGTAAACCCTAGTATTCACCACTGCGCTCCTCATTCTTTCATCCACAGTTATGAAATCTGTCATGCTTCTATTATCACCTCTTTCCCACGTATGCATGTGAACTCTTATGACGAAAGAAAGTGTTCGTCACAAAAGGATTCTTTTCCACACATACGGTGAGGCGGCTTACACCATACTCTTTTATACTTTCATCCCCAAACGTACCCAGTATCCTTTTATAGCCAAGCCTCCTCACCCCAATTTAAGAGTAAGAAAGAAAGTGAGAAATTTTGAAGGACACCGCCAAAAGACATTGCTGTCAACGAACATAGTCTCACATTGTGATAGTTTGCACTGCGTGGCAACGGCGCTTTTTAATGTTCAAGTATTCAAGTTCATTGAAACATTGACCTAGTGACCTAATTCTACAGAGAGTTCAAATTAGCTTAAAACGCTACTTTTTGACCTAATTACTGGACCAATTTCGTTAATTTTTTGTATATCGTCAGTAAAGACTATAAAAAGTATGTGGTTTCATTTATTGAATATATGCGGTACCCATTCTGTATATAAATTTCTGCTTTCTGCACTCTTTCTCTAATAAACTAACATTTCCAAATCTCACACTACTCTATGCTTGCAATATGCTTATAAAGCTGTATAAAGTTTTCCCCTCACATATTAATATTTGGATTAAATGTAGATGTGTTGTTTACCTAAACTAAGATTAATGTCGTATACAGATTTATGCAATGTTAAATGAAACATAACTGAAAATTAAAGAATTTGCTGTCAACATTAGTCCAATATACCATACAATATAATAAACACACTGTAACGAAGTTTCGAAGTCTGGACGCCTTTCGAGCATTTCAAGTTGAGCATGGAGCGATCGTGATTTCTCCGTTTTTTGAACAAACACAAAGGAGCGCGCTGTGTGCTTAGAGCTCTAGTACGGACAGGTTGTATTGAGACGCGCGAACACGAACCGAACGTATGCTGAAATCTCATGTCGTTCATTAATACTATATGTACAGTTCTTTATGCCATCAACGTCGAGGTCTTCGGCGTTTTTTTAATAACTCAGACCTTAAGAGTCATAAATTGGCCGTCACACTTCACTCTTTTCGCGTGTCTCAGCAGACTGACGCTACGTTCGCGCGCGCCAAAAACAGGTGTAAGTACATGTTTGGTTCGTGCACAAGCTGCATCCACACTGATTGAATGTTCCTTTCACATTACATTGCATGTTATCTTTCATCAGTCTGTACGCAGCATAAGAAGAGATACCTTAATACAAGTAAAAAGATTCTTCAGTCATTGTCACTAAGAAAACAAAGCTGTTTTCTTTTATGCTAGTATTCTATTCTGTTTATCATTCAGTTAAATAGCGAACTTTCAAAGCAATCAAAAATACTTTTAATTTAATATTTAATTGAGACTACATTAATTATACTTTACAGAGTACAATGGATCTGTGAATCATGTGGGAAAAGGCAACCAATACGAACAGGCTCTTTTTTCTTTAAGCTTCAGTGTTCCATACAACAAGTTCTTCAGATGACTCTAGCATGGTGTGAAGATGCGGATATGACTGTTGCTGCACAACACTTTGGTAAAATATGATATTTAATATTTCAAGAAAACAGAAATCTCTAACTTAAAAGCAACAATTCAATCACTACTACATTCACTACACTTCACCCAGCAATGCTCCCATCTCTCTAACCCTCCCAAACACTACTCGGCGTTTTGCTCTACAAAATAATTATTCACGAAGGTGATTGCCTCTTCATTTGACGAAGTTCTCTCTCCTCCGAGCGCAATTTTTTGATGAGGAAACAAAAAGAAGTCGGTTGGGGCTAGATTTGGTGATAAAGGCGGATGTCAAGCTGTTTAAACTGTAATTCATGGATTTTCGCCATGGCAGCCGCTAAGGTGAGAGACGGCGAGTTGTCATGATATAACAGGGTTTTCTTTTACTGAAAAGGGGCAATTTTCTTAAAATGTTAATAGCATAGTCAGAGCTCGATAGCTATATGGCTAAGCACTTGGCTCTTTGGTCTACAGTCCATATCAGATACGGATTTAGTGATTGTATTGCCTACATTTTTCCTGAGTTAAAATATGTATATCCATAATTTTGTGAGAAAGTTTTTAATGAGCCAGTTGAAATTTTGTGTGCAAACATGAATTTGCTAACGCTAAAATTCTGTAAATTTTATCATATGATCTCGTTCTCGAGAGTGGTGAATAAAATAGCAGGTGTGCAGAATGTAGCTTGTGCCATATATTTCATGAATGCAAATAGTTGTGGGAGTCAAATTTCTATGTATCATTATGTCAAATTTGTATGCTTTGGTAATGGATAGAGAAAGAGAGAGATAAATCATTCATCTTTGTTTATTATTATACTTACATAAAATAGATACATAACAGTGTTATAAAAAATCTAGGTACTGTAGTCGAAACTTACTATAGTTTCAATTATTTTGTTTATTTATAGCATTAGCAACGATTATTGTGCAAAATTATATTAGTGACAACTTAAAAGAAAAACAATCATCAAAGTACATTCCTTTGAATTAATCTATAGCTTCCTATTGTGTGAAAAACTGTGTTCTTAAAGCCAGTGGCTTCTCTCATATAATTTTGCTATTAAATTTTGTCTATCCTTAAATTTAACATAAGCTGTAAAATAAAAATTAATATTATTTATGATTTTTGACTTCTTATTGGTATAATATTCATATTGATTGTTGTTTTTTTATTGATATAGTATTCATATTGAACTTTTATTATAATATTAATATGGAATGAACATACTAATATTTGCCATTAATTTTCATGCTCACAAAACTAACATTAGTAAACTGATAAGGTAAGTTTAACAGATTGATTACAAATGTGACATATACTATTACTATACATTAAACAAGTTGGCCTGGCAGACATTGTCCTGCTTTTTCCAGTGGGTGGTGATTCGAAATCACTCTGAACTTGTAGACAGTTGCCGCGCCACCTATAGGTTTCTGATTTTGTGTTTGGGTTTTTTGGCACTAAACCAACATGGTAAGATAACCCACTAAAATGACTCATATTTTCATTTATGAGTCATTTTGGTTCATAACTATATAGACTTTTTTAGTTATTTATTACCTATTTTCCGGAACTCCACGTCTAAGTGCGTATTTTGCGTGTGGGCATGAGTATTATCATTATTCGTGCCATGAAATCTCCCCGAAGAAGTTTAACATCAAAGGATGCCGAGATGTTTAGCCCTGTATGTAGCGACCTCTGGACTTGCCAACAACACGTGGGCCGCCGTTTCCTCCTCCACCATACATGACCTGCACAGACAAAACCGTGAACAAAAGCCCCGAATGAAAGTCCGCCGAAACCCGACGCGTAACGAACCGACGAAAAGTAATAAATAAGTTTGCAAAGGTAAATGTCATAGTAAAGTATTCATCTAGATTCTAGATGCAAATTAATTAAAACAATGATAATTAATAAATAATCAACATACTGATGAAATGTTATGCCTTTATTATTTTAATTACACGTCCTTGATGAGTTTTTACAACTGATTATGCTGCAGTGCACCATTATAAATTTATAATAACAAAAATTCACGTACGACGTTCCCCGCACAAATAAATCACAAAATGGTGAATTATGTTCGTCAACCATTATAAGCGGCGACAAATTCACGCGTCTATGCGGCTTCTATTGTCTTATTATTATGATTTCTGTGGGAGTATTTGTAACAACTATTGTAAATAAATGTTTGTTAAGGGGAAATAGAAAAAATACTACCTCAAATGGCTTAGAAAAATACTCCGTTATGCCGAAAATATTGCAGCATTAATTTTGAAACAAATATATGGTAAAGTTGAGGATGAATGTTAAGTGATATGTTAGACGAAAACACGATTCCGTAAAATTTTCTCGATAGAAAAAAATCCAAATTTACCTAAAAACTGAAAAATAAACCGCTGGTATTCATAAAACGCTTTAAATTAGAGCATGAAACTTTGTATACTAACTGAACTAACTATAAAGCTGGGCTTATGTTTTTTATTATTTTTAAATTGGGTACCATTCTTTTCACTGAATAAAGAAATTACTCAAACTATCGGCGTCTTGAAGCTTGTTTCCTGCCGCCCGGTCAGTCTTGCTTCGGCATTCGAAGAATAAAGCTGTGTCGCTTACCATCAGAATACACATTACGCAACAGGACGACGTGATATTAAAATGGGCAATAACCGTAATAAAAATAAGAAGCGACTAGGTTGGCGTAAAGAAACGGGCATAAATATGATGAACCTAATGAAATAAGTATCTAACGACCTATCTACTTACAGTATTAGTGATTACAAACATGTCGGTATATACGACGCGCGGGGAAGTGGGGGCGAATTTGAATTAGAATTTGAGCTGAGTTACTATAACCCCTTAAAAGAGCCATCTCCTATATTGCACTTGTTGCTATCTTGATCTGTAGACTGTGGTAACTTGATTACAGCGCCACCTATCGAACTCTAGCATACCTCTAAACCATCGTCTCGATCAAAAAGATATTGTGTTTATGTGACCTTGGTCAAACATATATATTGTGTGGAAATTAATCTGTCAAGTTGTCTAGAAGTTACGCAATATAAAGCATATTACCAACATCACGGATTTCCACTTTTGTTTGCTGTACATAGGTCTTCCTTTTGTTTGTCTCACATGAGAGATCATGTTAGCCATATTAAAGCAACCATTTCCAAATTACAGACATTAAGCCGAGGGTTGCCAGTTCTATCTATGATCGATTGGATGAGTTGGCTATTAAAGAACTAAGTAAATATAAACTTGGTGGAGAGAACAGCGTGGTACTGGCCGAGATGTATCCAGATTGTCTAAACCGGCTGTCCCCAGACACTACAGAGCAGCCCCATGTGCACAGGATATTAATGCTGGCTGATACAAAAGTGAGTACTCATGTTTCATCTAGATTATATTTTTCAGGATTTAAAGAATGTGGTAGAGCCATGTTATAGCTATACAGGTTGTTAGTGTAAACACCATTATCCTTGAAGCCAGTGGTTTGGTTTCACTAATAAAACGTAAATTCAATGAAAAATAACAACATTTTTTTTTAGTAAAATCTCAATTTTTCCTTAATTCCTCAATTTTTGCCTGTCCTAAGCCAGGATGAAAGTATGAAGGAAAAGTTACATCACAGGTTATGTGTACCTATTGTGTTTTTATTGGAATGTAGTGTAGGTAGCTGGCGCGGGCGGTGATCTTTACAGTGATTACGTCACTCGGGCGCATAGGGTATCCATGAATTTACGGACGGACGGACTGAAACTTTTTAAATTTTATGAAAAAAAATAGCGTCTTTTTTAAATTCATTGAATTTACGGTTCTATAAGTGAAATCAAACCGCTGGTTTCAAGGATAACGCTGTTTACACTAACACATAATACAGGCTGTATTATGGTTGCAGCTCTAATGATTCAGCTAGACCGGGGAAAAATCACTCACACAATACTAGCTCCACCTATCACAGATGAACTGTATGCTTGTTTGTTACTTATACTATAAAAAATGGATAATAAAGATAAATATTTTAAATGAAATAAGGACTGTATTCATAACTAATTTATCATATTTATGTTACAGCACATTCCAACTTATTATCGACTACATGTCGTTAAAGGAGATTTGAAGAAGTTTGAACATGACAGCGCTGAAGACGAGGTATCTGTCAATATTTGACATAACATAGTTATTTGAATTTTTTCCCCCACATACTGCCACATAACATTTTATCTCATCTTTTGACCATGGACATAATGGCTGCTTTTGGCAGAAAAAAGCGCTAGCAAGCGCTTGTAAGCAAAATGGCGATCGTAAGCGGTAAGCGCTGTCAAACCTTAAGTAGCTATTTTCCTCTAGGACACGAAGTTAGTTTTAACCGGGGAACCTAACCTAATTTAAATATACGAGTATGTTTGTAAAGTATTCATATTAAAAACTTACCAATCATAAATTTTTAATAACATGTATAATATGTTTATTCATGTCATTATATTACTTAAAACTAATATTGCATAAAACAACTTATAAACTCTACTTCAAAACAAACGAATTAAATAAGCAAAATGGCGGATTGTGTCAGCGCTAGTAAAATTAGCAAACGTGTCTTGGCCGAAATCTGTTTAGTTTCGCTACAAGCGCTTGCTAGCGCTTTTTTCTGCCAAACGCAGCCAATGTTTCATCAGGTCGTCATGCTATCTAGTGTGAAGGCGCACAAGCCAACATATTATGCACTTCATCAGTTCAACGAATAAATCTTGTAGCAGCTGGTAAATGACCAAATACCGATAATAATAGTCTCTTATATTCACCTTAGACAAGCTGATCACAAGACATTAATAATAAGGCCGGTGACAGAATCAGCATTTAAATATGTGAATATGTTAAGCGAGCACTGCCTGTAAAGTAATAACACCCTGTATTATGGTTCTCTGAAATATTGAGTCAACAAACAGCCTACTGCGAGTATTGACGATTCGTTTTTAAACCAAAACACTAACATAACACTCAGTTGCATTTATAATTTGAAAGTAGAATCTTTTTAATTTTGTTTAGAAACACAGACAGATTATAATAAATGAACACGAACGGTCCGCAAACCATTTAATGAGTTCTCACAAGTCCTGAGATATGCAAATCTTACAGCGAGTTATAGGCAAAGCACGCCTAGTGTATTCGCCTTATTCAAGATACTAGTGATCCGCCCCGACTTCGCACGGGTTGTTTATGGATCTCGACATCAGTGCCACATGCCACTCAAACACACAAAAAATTTCATCAAAATCGGTCCAGCCATTTACGAATTTTTGTGATACTAACGGACAGCAATTGATTTCTTATATATAGACATACGGCCGGCAGGCTGCAGGCCGTATGAGGACGCTCAAGGTCGCTCAGCGAGCTACGGAGAGGGCTATGCTCGGAGTTTCTCTGCGTGATAGACTCAGAAATGAGGATATCCGCAGTAAAACCAGAGTGACCGACATAGCCCAATGGATTAGTAAGCTGAAGTGGCAATGGGCCGGCCATATAGCTCGAAGAACCGATAACCGATGGGGAAGAAAGGTTCTCGAGTGGCAGCCTCGTACCGGTAGGCGCAGTGTAGGGCGACCCCCCACTAGATGGAGTGACGACCTGGTAAGACATGCAGGAAGTCGATGGATGCAGGTGGCTCAGGACCGTGCTTTGTGGCATTACTTGGGGGAGGCCTATGTTCAGCAGTGGACTTGTGAAGGGCTGTACAGATGATGAAAGATGATATAGAGATAGGGCTTCTGCTGGGTTAGCCAAGTTTCTATAATGTTTAACGCTAATAGAAAAGTCAAGTCAACGTTAAATCATGTTATAGTTGTTGTAAAATTATGTTACATATTATGTCATTCCCATTAATTTTTATAGTTCTCTACTAGCGTTAACGATTGTAGAAAGGCGACAAACTCTGCTGGTTGTTAACTGCGCATGGTTTGCCGTAGTGCCACAAGCTTAAGTACAAACACAGATTGTTATGGTTGCAGCACTAATGGGTCGGCTCGACCGCAGACCAGTTTTACTGGTGACTAGATATTTTATCTTAGTACTACTAACATTTGCGGCAACAGCTCTACGTACGTCTTTGATTCTGCTTACCACCTGTGCTGCGTTGCCGATATAATATATTCGGAATATCACGCGAATTTTAAATTTTTATGATCACAAACTTGTAGTTATATCAATAAAAAGACACAAATAAACCTTCAAATACGTTTGAATTTGGAATATCAAGTGGAATTAACTTCAAACCTTGACATTAATAGTAGTATTGTCAACAATGCTTCTGTAGTCTCTTTGTTTGAAGTCATCTGCCGGTGACCATGAACTGAAGACCTGGTAAGACATGAAGGAATTCGATGGATGCAGGTGGCTCAGGACCATGCTTTGTGGCATTACTTGGGGGAGGCCTATGTTCAGCAGCGGATTTGTGAAGGGCTGTAATGATGATGAATGATGACCATGAACTGTAGTAGCCACTTACTATCAGGTGCACTGTAAGTTTGTTTGACGCTTCAGTTTTTTATATGAAATAAACTCAAGCTGTAGTGCATAGACCGTTGTGTTTCAGTTTGAACTATACGAAGAGTCAGTATAATTACAGCATTTGGGGTGCGACACACATGGGTTACACACACCTGTAGACTTCTTTGTTCCAAGCTGGATGCTGCTGTGCATTGACAACATAAGCCTTATCTGTTCAATCACAAGGTGAACTGTTACCTTATTTACCATTTTAATGTTATGAATATACCAACGTTTTTTTATAGATACTTAAATCGGAAGTGGAAATGGTGCTGGCCAATGCAACAGAACCACAGTCTATGATAGTGTTGGGAAACAATGTTCCAAGCATCGAGGGATGTACTTCCTTCCAGCATCTAGTACAACACTGTGATGTCGATATGCAGCGGTTTCGTAAGTTTTTTATGATAAATTTACACCGTAACCACAGAATAAATATTAGTACTACATACAGAAGTTGCAGTCCTTTGACTGCTTGTCGACGTTTTAATAGTCCACATAATTATTATTAATTAGATAAAACCTGCACGCAATCTAAATATAACTATCGTTCCGCGCGATTGTCCGTATTACTTTGCATTTTTTCCTCTTCCTACGTCACGTCGGACTTTCCGTGGTTACTAAGCTGTCAATAAAGAGTAAAACATATATTTCTGAATGATAAGTTACTTAGGTAAAGTACCTATTCTATCATCGACTGGCCATATTTTCGCTACTATGTGAGTTCTGTGATGCCCAATGCATGCAACTTGCAAGGCCATTTGTCGGGAATCGCGATGCTTGGCTCGGAAGAAATAGGCAGATAGTGTAAATAACAAATAAACTCTAAATACGATTCTTAACAGAAATGTGATTGTATTCTACTGAGTTAAAACCCTTGTTAGTAAACAAAGTTTTTATTTCAGTATCTTGTGTTATAATTACAAAAGACAAGATAAGTATAGGTATGTAAGTAGGTGCTTGGATAATGAAGTAAATTTCAACGAAGTTATGTAATAAAGTACTTAGGTATTACTTCTGTATTTAAATTATTAATTAATTATTTTTTGCTATTAATACCTATCTAAATGAAATAAATTCACATATATCCACGCAAAAATTTAAGTAGGAACGACGTTTTGCCATTATAATTTATCTAATGGATAGGTAATATTTTAAATTCCATTTCAACTCTTATCTTACAATTAAATGTATTAAACACTAAACTTTTCGTTTAGTGTTTAGTACATTTAATTGTATATTATATATATTATAGTATATCCATTTCAACCAGTACTTACATAACACAATTTACGTAAACAGCGTTAAACAACTTTAACATTCAATCGCCTACAACACGCTAGCCCCGAATGCGTATGGCAATTTGCAGGTAAATATTTCATGCAGGTAGCAAGAGTGACAGAGACCAGCTACTGCTACAGACTTCTACTTTTTCCTGAATTTGGATAACTTTTTGTCGGGAAAAAATTCAACACCCGAGAGGCAGTACAAAATGCCTTTGAAGAATTTGTACTATTAAACATCTAGAATCTTTGGACACTGCATCCACTCATCGATTGAGATATGTTACAGTATACACGCATCGGATGGTTGTAGTTAAACGCTATCTATTGAAGGTCATGAATATGACTATCCACAATACAAATTGGGTTTGTTGATGGATGCCTCAGATAGTCTGATAGATATTTTTTACTATTAGAACAAAATAGTAGTGTACATTATAAAAGTAACAAATATCTTCATTCCCATAGAGAGAGAGGGAGAAGTCTGTATCGTTGTTTCGGCGTATTTTGACAGACGGACATGCAAGGTGTCCCCATATTTATGTAGTGGTTTTTTTTTGTGTAAAATGAGCACACAGTCCACCTAATGGTAAGTGGTTGCTGTAGCCCATCGACATCTACATCTATCCTCGATTACGAATCAGAATGCAGATGTGTTGTCCCCCGTGAGGACTAAGATGGAATGTCTCATGGTTTCCATCCTATTCATTTTCATCCGTGGTGTATTCTATTATAAAGAATCAAAATGCAGAAGCATTGTCACCCTTGAAGACTAAAATGGAATGCTTCAATACCAGTAAAAATGGTCTCTGGTTCACCTTACGAAACATATTAAGATTATTTACAGCGAATATAAATATTCTTTAATAGTGTTACAGTCAATTCACTGTGTTATGTGCGGTTCAGACACACAACCACTAGACCAACGCGACAGGGACTGCCTCATGGTCTAGTGGTTGTAGTAGTGTGACTGCTGATCATGAGATCCTGGGTTCGAATCCTGGGTCGGGCCAAAAAATCAATTATTGGGTTTTTCAGTCAAGATGTTCTCAGTAGCTGCCGGAGTCAAGAAGTAGGCGGTGTTTCACCATCGTGCCTTGGAAAGCACGTAAAGCCTCAGATCAAGATCTCACTCTGGTCGTGTCGGTTTACCGTCACATCGGATTATGAGAGTGAGGAAATAGAGAGTGCACTTGTGCTTGCGCATACACTTGGGCACTATAATCCTGTCCTGTGCCGATGGCTAGTCTCCGTTGAGGCTGGCCGCCGTGACCGTAATTCGGTATGGAGAACATTATGTGCGGTTATAGAACTAAATCAAAAATTATATTGTGTATAGTAAGTTCGAGAGTGTGGCGTCAAGCGCTGGCATTGTGCTCTGCATCTCGCGATCTGTGTGTGGGCATGTCGGCAGTTTGCGCTGTCACAGTTCAACGCTACCTGGATATAGCGTCATTCCGCTTGCGTTACGGCGACGGCTTCTATGGACATATGTTGAGGATTGTCTGCAGGGAATTCACGGACGGCTACAATGAATGAAGGGTTTTTTTTTTAATTTACTGTAAAATTTTACGTGCTAGAGCCACGTTATAGGACCACATAGTCTGCCTGATAATGCATTGACTCATAGACACCCTTCTCTGATTGAGAATATAAATGCAGGTGCATTGTCACCCCTAAGGTCTAAGATGGAAAGCCTCGTCACCAGTGAAAAGGTTTCAGGTTCTCTAAACTCGGCATAAAATACACATCAGTATTATGCTGCTATTTCACTCTGGTATTCTGAGCAGTGTGGCACTTACACATATATATCCTTGTTCATCTGTTTTGATCGTTTAAACATTTTCATATACCATTTATTGGATTAGTTAGAACTAGTTTGTGCATTGATGTGTGTACCTACATCTTCTTTGATGACTTATATCAGTACTCTGAATTAATCACTAGTCTAATTGCGAGGTACCGATTCTGAGTCCCTATCAACTTACCATCGTTTGAAATTTTTTTTCGTAATTCGTATTTTATTTTTTGTTAAAAAAGTACAGAAAATTAAAATCTGATTTGCATCGACTGAAATTCGTTTGTAGGCGATGTCCGAATGCACGTCGTGTGAACGTGCACATATAAACACACTCAAGGACATAATTTTTAAAATAGTAAAGTCCAACCGTAAATTTTTCCATTATTACAAGAACTTCCGTTAAACTTATATTTTACTGCATGATCATCTACGTAAGACCACAACGTTCACTTACTTGTTGTGATTTAGCATATTATGATATTAATATGATATTAATCAATATTGATTTAATTTGAAAACAGCAGCAGTGAATTAGCTGCAAGTTAGTACTAGTTTAATAACTTTCAGCTAATTTAACATGCTTACACAATAATTTTACAATATCTTTTACTTTTGTTTTTGTATTAGATTCTATATCCTATTGATTATCACCGGTTTATCAACACATTTTGTTAATACTTTCAATATCTTTGTGCCAGATTGTATGCAGTGCTTCCAAAAACAAACCGCAGACTTCAATTATTGATTTGTTATTTTTTGTTTCTGTTTAAAGATTATGTTTAATTATATTCAATGTGTAATAAGTAATAATAGAGTTCGAAATTAGGTGTGCTATTGAAAAAAAAACATAACTAGGGTTTTCTTCTATATTGTAGAGACATTTTATACATAAATTGCACATATACGAACATCCAGTCCAGATCAATTATTTGTAGGCCATACAAATTATAAATACTTATTCCGTGTGGGATTTCTTTACCCTTAATGAACACTAATGTTAAAGATTATGTTCAGGAAATCCTAAGAATTTGTTATTATGATTTGATCTGTACAAGTGACTTGTAGAATATTCTAGGACTATGTGAAAAAAAAAACGGTAATAATGGCATTGTAAATTGGTACAGTGTTATAGTTGAGACCTTTTAAGTTTTTAAAATACTTGTGTCAGATCGCCACACTCTTCCATAGCCTTATTCTATTATAAACTTATTACCATTAATTGCTATTTAAAGGTACAATTTCGTAGCCGACTGCAGGCAGCAGCTGCAAGCGACGTGTCGTCGCGAGCGCGACACAACTGGTTTCTATGTAGTTCTATGTACGTTCCGTAGTCGCCTACGTCTACGTCGTTTGCCAAGCGGCAGACGAAACTGTAGCCGGACCGCAGATCTGTAGTGCCGCCAACGCCCGAGCGGCGACACGTTGAATTTTTCTTAAAAAATGAGTTTCACCGATTCCGATGAGTACAGACTGATAAACCATGTGGCCCAATATCCCGCACTGTAACCGCTAGTTTCAAACACGTCAAACATCATGCCCCACTAAACACTCGGAACCGACTGGACACGGGCTGCTGTCACCTGCAGTCGAGTTCGGAATCATGATTGCAGCGACATGACGTCACGTCGCCCGCTGCTGCTGCCTGTAGTCGGCTACGGAATTGTACCTTTACCCACCTAATTTCGAGCGCTGATAGTGTAAATAGGTATCAATAAAATCGGTACCGTCAAATGCCCTAACTCTTCACGAATATTGATATAAATTTGTACTTTTTAGCAGATTAAATAAAAATGAGAGTAAAAACCAGACTTAAGTATAATATATAACATTTATTTTAGACAATATGCTTAATGTTAATAATTTTTTTAGGTTTTTTAAGAATTAGGCAAAGTTATGTCTTCCTTGATCCTTTTGTCAGATGTGTTTTTTCCAAAATAAATATACGCATTTAATCCTGGGACAATCTTATATGTAGCTTAATAATTCCAGAATACAAATCAATTTATGAATATTTTTGGAGTATTTTAGGAGATAAAATTTTATAAGGCTTAGGACATAATTTTTTACATTCCATACATTGACAAAGAAGGTGTAGGTTGTCTCTAAGAAAATAAATATTGTATGTAACAAATTATTAAAACTATATTTAAAACACATGTTATAACATTTAATCAGTCATTCTTATTGCAAACAGTATTTTAAAATTAAATCAGTGCTTGTGGCCTACGATAATCTGGCAATTTATTCAATACAGCTTCTGGATTAATGGGGTGAATCCCAGCATTGGTTGCATCTGGTAACATTTTTAAAAATTCGGCGAATTTTTGTTTGTTTAATATGTTATAACTTAGGTGTCGAAGTTTGTAGTCTGTTCAAATTCTTCTCCATTCTCTCTTCAATGGGCCGAAAAAGGCCACATCATCGAGAGGTTGAGTGTGGTGCGTGGAGTTAGGCGGCAAAAATATAAATCTGATATTACGTTCATCACGTTTTGTTATTATATTTATATTCATATGTGAAGATAAATTGCCTCCAATTAAAACTTTAGGATCAGTGGGTTTCACTGCCGATTACATAATTATGGTATTAAACCAATTTTCAAAAGTGTACAAATCGAACTAGATTTGGTTTTGTTGTATCTGGTTACTTCAGGGCCATTGACACACCAATTTGTCCAACTTATCTGCTTTGTATACGACATATGGTGGAAAAATTAGTAGGCGTAGCTGAGAACATAACAAATATCGCCGTCTTGGTATTGTTTAATGTTTCATTTGGGTGTGTAGTTCCTGCTTTTAATATGGATTTTTGAGATCCTGGGTTATCAGAAAAATTGGTCTCATCATAGAACTATATGCTCTGGTTTGACATTATGCAGCGAAATCTTCAAATTTTCAAAATATGTATTATAGCCCTGTACACTCTTACTGGCTCGGGATTCTTTAATATTTGTAGAACGTACGTTCAGGAAGTTTTTTACCCAATTCTGACCCGGCATTTTGTTGTTAAAAATACCACTAAGTCTATTTTTGATTAAGTAATCATGTACTATTGACCTTAAGTAAAAGCTAGTAACAGGATACCCTATTCTCCAGAAAGAATTAAACAACAATTTTCTGTGCAACAGTTCAAAATAATAAAATCAAATTGTTTCTCGGCGTTGTATGAAATAATATTCTTTTTTTCAATGAGACTTACATAAATGTTTAGTAAGCTCTCATCGTAATCTTTATATTTTCCTCGCGACTTGTTTATTTTGATTGTCCTTCAAATAAACAGAAAACTAAGTATATTAGGGATGTAACTATATTTAACTAATACCGACATATCGGCATTGCCGATTATATACAACCGATATGAAGAGTTTGAAAAGTGCGCGAAACGAAACGTTTATATTATATATATAAAAAATATATATGTATATATATGAATCGCTAATTACAAAAAGGACACATGTCCCTACTTGTAAAATGTTCAGGAGAGACAAAAAACTATTTTACTTTATAATTAATAAAAATAAAACATATTTTATTTTTTAGGAACATTTATATTGATATTTTCTATGAGAATAAATGAAGTTTTCTTTTCAAATTAATTTAGTTTATTGTTAAATTGCAAAAAGAAAACATAGACATGTTTCCTTTTTGCTGTTACCATTGGACATGAGTCCTTTATGCAGAAAAAGCATTATAATTTCATACAAAATTTTATAGAAAATTAAACAAAGAATAATTCAAATAATGTTTATTTACTAAACATATATCATTGTTTAAGCTGAGCTGTGAACTTACATGAGTATACAAATTAATTATGCACTCTACTATCCCTTTCTGTACGATTTTCAGTTGGCCATTCATAAAGTTCATTCCAAAAAGTGTTAAATGTTGAAAGAATGTAAGGCTTAAGTTTTTTTTAAATCTACCATTTTACATTCTAACAGAGGTATTTTATTCTGATAAAGTTTTTCTGATGGCAAGTGTAATGGAATTGTGGTGGGTTTTCTCAAATGAAAATAATGTGATAATAGGCCACCAATAAATTCTTTAGTTTTTACAACTTTTGGCTCCTTTTCATTAAATTCGAAATAATGGTAATTTGATATTGTCAATGGAATTGAGGATGAGCCACTTCGAGCTTCAGATTTTTTATTTTTATAATAAAAGTTAAGGTACCAGTTTTGGACATCATAAATAATTGAAGAATCTGCCAGAAACACAGTAAACTTATCTTGAATATTGGAAGACTTCATTATTACTTCATCCACATATTGCTCTACTGTGTAAAGTCTGTCAAATTCTTTTAATTTTCTTTTAATGAGACCGAATGATCGGTCACATGGCAAAAATGAGTGGCCACGTTGAGGAAAATGCAGCTTAATTTTTTTAAATAAACCAAGTTCTATCAAACTCATCACTTTTAATTTTTGCGTTTAATTCTTCACACTTTGAGCAGAGCAAGTATCTTTTGCAGGTTTTCCGAATGTTAGAGAGAAATTTCTTTTGAAATACTGCCAATAGAATGTGTAAAGCACTTTGTCTTTCAGGTCAGGGTACTTTTCAATAAATAATCTGTAAATTTTTTTTAATATTTAGATTAGCACTGAGATAAAAGTATGATCGTGTTGTGTATTGTGATTCGCGAACTGGAAAAGATTTAATATGCCCATCTATTTTATGTATGATATCAGAGGGCATGGCATTGACACTGCTTTTCTTGCCTCGACCATCTACAGGCACAACATTTTTTTCTAATAAATTTGAAATTCTTCTTGCCCTTTTGCTTGTAATGTTGTGAACATTGCTGAATGCGTTTTTACAAACTTGCGTACGTATCGCACCAAGCAACAAGAAATATTTGAAATTCTTTGATTTTGGTTTCCGATCGCATTCCAGTGTATCAGCACAAGCTCGTGATCTTGAAACTGGTGCAATTTCTATCATTCTTTGCAAGTGAAGGTCTTGTTCATCCTTGGATTTAAGTCCATAAAACATGAGAAGGACATCATCTAACAGTTCTGGAGGATTTATTTTTGCTAAACATTTGCCCTTGCAACTGGAAAATAAAAATTTATTTTATAATACAATATGACAAAATACCATAGTGACAGGAATATAAAAAGTATCATAAAGATAATTACCAGTTTATGTTGATAAAATCTGGATCGTTTTTGGCGGGCACGCATTTGTCGGCCCAATTTATAAATGTGACTCGCTCTAAATTTTTGCCTTCTTTATTACATTTCTTTTGTAATTTTCGTGGTTTGAAATGTTTTTTTTTCTTTTGCGGCTATTTTCGTCCATTATATCAAGTGTAATTCACAAAATATAAGTATTTTATCACGTTAGAAAACACCACACTCACTGACCTCACATCGATTTTGACACTGACAGTTGTGATGATTGATAGGTTAGTATTGCCATACAATTCTTGTAAAAATTATGCAACAAACTACTAAACTCTGCGTTCAATATCTCTATGCTGGTTAGCTGCTCATGTGTCCTTTTTACAGAAATGATGTATAACGACAAAATACGTTCGAATATGCAAAAAAGTGATTTCGACGAAATGTTCACTATGTGCCCTTTTTGCAATTAGCGATTCATATATATATATATATATATATATATATATATATATATATATATATATATATATATATATATATATATATATAATATATGTTACCGGAAATGTATGAAATCTAGGAATTGTATACAAATCCTAGGAAATTTATATAATTCCGAAGTTACTTAGGAAATGTATAAAATATTGTTTCAAAAACTATTTAATACATAAATGTCCTAGGAAATGTGCACAATTCCTAGGAATTGTATATAATTCCAATATCGTATTAGGAAATGTATAAAAATAATGATTTCTGTAATAAAACACGTTGTTAAAATGAGAATAATAATTTTTATTAAAGCACTCGTTGAGACAACAGCGTTCAGGTAACAGTCATTTCGTAAAATATAATAATCTTCATATTATCTTACTAATTAAAGCTTCGAAAATCAAGTATCTAGGAACTTTTAAAATGTATTTATCACAAAATCGACTTATATTATTCTCATAAAGTCAAACTTTCGTTGGGTAAGTAATTAGTCTGTTATTTAAGTAATTATAAATGTCACAATATTAAAGTAAGACTTTATATTATATAAAGAGTCAGTCCATATGGCTATTTATTTTTGCAGGGTAAGCCGGAATGGCACTTGGAAGTACACAATAATTTATTTTTATAGCACAGACATCTTGCTGTAGTACAGTTTTTCTTGCAATGGCACTTTTTAAATCCCTGGCCGGTTCCAGTGGATTGTAGGTTAGCAACTGACCGTAGTGCTATCTCGTACTCGGTACATCCTCTGCATCAAGAAGAGCTCTTGGACACACATTAATCTGAGATCGAGAATATAATTTTTTAAGATTCCGTTCTTGGTACCAATTTGATAAAGCTCATCATCGGTTTTAGCCAAAACTACACCTATAATATTTCGGGCATCACCACGTCCTCTGTCAACCTCTGGAACTGCAATTCGTACAGAAGTGCAAATAGGTACAGGAGCAAACTTCTTTTCACTCGATTTCAGCATTTTTTCAGCCTGATGTTGTAGGTTTTTCTTAGCACTTTGACGATTATCTTGTACTTTATATTTTTTTGAACATAATAGACACAAAACTTTAGATCCAAATCCTTCATCAGATGATTCTTCAGCAACAGCGCAAATAGCGTGGATTGCACATCCACATTCTCTACATGTATGAGCCTCTGTAGTTTCTTGTGAACAGACGCTGCATTGGAGGGTGCAAGCTGGAGGTTGCGTATTTGTTTCGCGTTGATCTGAATCGTTGTTAGAAACTTGACTTGCCTCCGTGTTCACCTTAGAGAATTCACATGCAGTGACTTCGGGATCTTCTTTTTTGGTAAGGTCCTGTATAATTTTCTCCAAATCTTCTTCAGTTTCTACATTTTGCGTGAAATCATTGGGTAACTGTAAACCAACTTTTACTTTACACCCAAAAAGTGCCTCATAAGGAGATTGCTTAATACCAGCGTGAAAAGCTCTGTTTTTCATGAGTTGCACAAATCTCAAACCCTCACTCCAATGTGAATTATTATTGTCTTGCATCCACGTGGTCAACATATTTTCAATATCCTGATTTGCTCTTTCCACACTCCCCTGACTTTGCGAATGCCTGGGTTTACCATGAATAATTTTTAAAGTAGGCCAATATGTTTTTAAATTCTCAATAATTCGGTTGGAAAATTCTCTGCCGTTATCAGACTGAAGTATTGCAGGAGCACCAAGTAGAGTAAATATGTCCAATAAAGTGTGCTTAGTGGTTTTAAAACAACAAATTTTGTTAAATGATCTTGATACACCATTATAAATTTGTTATCACCGTCGGGCTGGGACTGAAAATCTATCAGATCCACTTGGCATCTAGAGTTACACTCTGACGATATAATTGGCTTTACAACAATGCCTTTTTTGATGTTTTTTTGCTTTTGTTGACAGGGTTCACAAAGTTCAAGATAAGTTTCTATATCCTTACGTGTTATGTTTTTGTAGTGACTCCCTACCACTTTCATCATACGATCTCTTCCGCCGTGACCAATTTGAATATGTGCCTCGTGTAATATGTCGAATAACTCGCTATCACATGCGTAGTAAATAATAGTGCTTATAATGTCTTTAACAGGAAAAATAAGCTTACTTTTCTGGTCAATGGTAAGCACATCGTATCGCCGCAATAACCAATAATCACGAGAAGTCTTTCTGGCTGTTATTTTTGCCGTGGAAACTTCTTCAATTAACTCTTTATAACGTTCATCTTCAATATAAGCAGTGTTCTTAGCGTTTGTTAACGTTCTTAATGACGCTAAAGTACTATAAAATCGCTCTTTCATAAGCGCGATGCGTGATTCGGTAGCCATTTTGAACAACAGCGACGTGCGTACACACTGACAGTTAACGCGGCACTAGCGAGATCGCCTGATCAGACAAAACAATACCCTCCCCTCGCCCCGCTATCCCCGCATACACATTGATATCTCAAATATTTACATTTCCGAGTGCTATTTAGACAATGTATAGATTTCCTAGGAAATGTGTCTAATATAATTTATTTTACACATTTCCGTACGATTTTAGGAATTCCATACATTTCCTAGGAATTGTATACAATAACGGATTACATACATTTCCGGTAACACATATATATATACATATATATATATATATATATATATATATATATATATATATATGTATATATATATATATATATACATATATAGTGATGCAACGAATACTACTTTTACGAATGCGACTATCATGCCATGGTAATGAAAAACTAATTTATTTGATGATTTTCTATTGTTGTAATAATTAAAATATATAACAGGTAAATTTTTATTTATTAAACATAAAATTTGTAGTTTTTGGTTTTAGGCGATTTCTTTTTTCAGTCTAGATGTTCCCAGCCGTTGAAAAAACTTTTCCGAGGCGACTTTTTGAGGCGAGTTTTTTTAACCTTGGAAAATGGACATCTTCTCGCTAAATAAAAGGCCAATGGATAAGAGGCAAGATTTAAGACTTCGTATTATTAGGATTGCTTGAGATAATGTAGTTGAGTTTTTGATTAGCTCTTTAGTAGCTTCCCCTTCTTCAAAATTGGCCAGAATGTCAATAATTTGGCTCATAAGAGCCCATTGCCTTGCTGTGATTTCATGATGACAATTTAGTAGAGATGGCAAAACATCTTGAAACACTATGCGTTTTTCATGTAATCTCATCAGCATCTGATATGTTGAGTCCCATTTAGTTTCAACATCTTGAAACAAAAAATGTTTCGGTATATTGTAAGCTTGTTGAGAATCTTTCAGTTGTTGGAGTGTTAAAATGAGTAATAACTCCCCTGCCCTTGTGTAGCCGTCGTTGCGGCTTAGGGCCTAAGCCCCACGTCGTATTTACGCGCCGACGACACGCGTTTTCAAAGTCTGCCAGAGTTGCGTACAAAAATATTAGTTTTAAATATTTGTGATTAGTATTCCCCGAATACGAATATTCGTATTTGTTGCATCACTAATATGTATATATATGTATCTTTACATTTAACTAACTTTATGTATAAGTTTCCATTGGCATATAAAAGCAAAGAAAGAAATTATTTAAAGTAGTTGAACATAATATTACATATATAGGTCACGTGCCTGCTTAATTTAAATTAAGTACCTGGTTGACCGAGCTTTGCTCGGTATTTTTCGCTCGATCTTTTTTTAATTCGTGTGTTTTGGAAATTATATTTAGATACAAATTACATACTGATGAAATATAAATAATATTTTTTGATCTTAGCAACATAACAAAAAAAAAACGGAACTGGTTATTTGAATAAAAAAATCATGAGTGCAATTATTTTAATTTAAAAATTTTTACGATTCTGTGACCGCCCTTTATACCAATTAAGCTATTTATAATCATTAACAATCTGTCAAAATTTACCTTCTTATTCTAACGATATTGTAGCAGTTTTTCATTGCCTAAAAACACGGACAAAAAGACATTTTCTAAAAATAAATCCTAGCTAGATCGATTTATTATCCCCGAAACTCCCTGGACACTAAATTTTGTGAAAATCGTTGGAGCCGTTTTCGAGACCCCGATTATATATATATGCAAGAATCGCTCGTTTAATAGTATAGGATTACAAGTGTCAACCCTAGGCTCGGCAATGTTTGGTGTACTTGTTCGGAAGATATGCCAATCTTTGTCTACACCAGTATATCTCAGTAACTATTAGTATATTTCTATTGTTAAAAATGACGAATGATCAAATCATTGTTTTAAACAATGAGTATAAAACAAGTTAGAATTATACATAATATATTTTAATGACTTACTTCCGAAGTTTACACTCACAACTTTCGCAACCGCCATTCTACACTTTGATTCAACACCCGATTGTCAAAAATCTTTGCATTTTACCAACGCGACGCCACTAATTTTGTGTTGCTAGATAATAATTCTAAAATATACCAAAGTTTATGTTGTCAGGCTATTAACATAGAAAAGATATTACTTATTTTTCATTATAGGCAAACATTGGTCTCCTGGCAAAGTTAGGGAGTTTGACGGTATTTACCAGTTTATATGTTGAATTGACGAAAGCCGGCTTATTTCGGTTTGGTGCAGGGTATATATTTTGAAAGAAACCTGCATGACTAGAAATAAATGAAACGATAAATGCGAAGTACGACAAGCGCCCAGAAGCTGCTTGCCAGGTAGCCATTTCTTGATGTTTTTACTTCCCGAAGTGGGAGGATTGTGTAATTATTGATAATAAGTTAGTCTTATAAGATAGTGCCTTTATAGTAACGAGATATTAATGTCTTCCTAAGTGCCTTGTGTTTACGAGTTGTGACTAATATAATTATAACTTAATGATATTACTTTTAATTTTGTTAAGGAACAAACCTCAATACTTACTTATATTAACCGTTTTCCTTCTTATAATAAATGGCTGAAAATTTTGTATATTACCGTTGATTTCCATGTTGTTTTGTTCTATAAAAATGCCTTCCCAGTTTTTTTGATGGACATTATTGTTGAGACTCTTTTATTTCAATCAGCAAATAAAATTAATGTTTTATATTTTTAAATAGGATAAGCTGTTATAAGTATTTTTAATTAATTAAGTGAACGGCATTTCTGTTTTGAACAAAATGATCATAATATATATATATATATATATATATATATATATATAAAATAAAATCCGCAAAGGCAATGCAAATACCATAGTGAAATATTATGACATGTCATTATTTCTTAGAGATTTCACTGCTAAATATGAACTAAATCTTTTCAAAATTGTAATGCAAGGCAAACGCATGACCGATTGCAGTACTAAAGTATTTTCTTAGGTATTGTTATTATTAAACTGTCTGAGTCTGAGTCTGTATCACAATATGCGTTACAATAGCTGTGCAGCGTGTAAAGTATTGATGTTGCGGAGTATTTACATAATATAATTATGACATGACTCACAGACAAAATTTCCCCCTTTTAAGGCATTCTATGGCATTTTTTATCCAGCTTTGACTCGATAAGCTGCAATGAATGAATGACTCACGGCACGGCGCATTACACACTGTAAAATAAATTACCAATATATTAATATTATTGGTACCGTGAGTAATTAGCCTTAAGTTTTTATTTTCTTTTGAAACAGGTTTTCATTGTATGTGTTGCATTCTGTAATAAGTTGAAATAAATTTATGAATTTAATATTCCTTGTTTTATTTTATATTACACTAGATTTTATCCGCGACTTCGTTGGCGAATAACTTAAACATAAAAAAAATCAATGGATGTAAATCTTTGGTTTGCTGGGATAATGTTAATCAAATAATGTTTCAGTAAATTTTATACTTGGTAGAGCCATGCTGTAGCCATGTTGTGGCTCTAGCACGAATGGGTCGGCTCGACCGGGGAAGGGCTTCGCTCTCACAGTATAGTGTGTACACCAGTAGTGTATACACGGTATACCGGCCTAAAATAGTAGCTGCTATGTTTCATATACAGAGTGTAAAGAACCAGAGAGCCTTTTTACCAGATATCTGGCATTCCGTCTTGTTTTTAGGAGTGAAAACGTATCTTCATTTTGATTTTCAATCGAGGTTAAACGTTGATTGTCTATGGGCCACAGTATCCACTTATGATTAAGTGGGCATAAAGTTTAAACTGGCCTAGTCACGAAACCGAGATTTTGTTTATTAAGGACTCGACTTTAGACACAAGTTTTTTCCGATACTCGATGACGTGTTCGTGAGAGATATTAGCACGGCCGGTGTACCATTGATACACCGACCGTGCTAATATCTCTCACTACCTTGATGCCCTGATCTGCATGAAAACTGATGATCCAATGGCACAATTTCTTGGGAAGCCCATAGGTTAGAAGCTTGTAAAGAAGCATTTTGTGACAAAGCCCATCGAAGGCTTTCGTTATGTTCAAAGTAACGACCAAGGCCTCCCTCTTGGACTTTACTGCTTCCGCTCATTTATGAATCAAGTAAAATAAAAGATTACGGTGAATGCTCCGATTGCAAGCCTCCTAAACT